AGGGAATGGCAAACCACTTCAGTTTTCATGCCTTGAGAATTCCATGAAGAGTACAAAATTAATATATTAGATAATTCTGAGTATTAATTTAATATGCCTCAGTGATTTTCAAATTTGTTTTGGATCTCATCAGTAACCTCATTGATATGAACATTTATACACATGAGCAAATGCAAAATAATTTAGAATTATCTATTTCATTTTATAATAATATTAGAGAAATGTGGAATAAATAAATAATGAGAAGGAGTTGAAGTTTTCTGGTCTTGTTTTGTTTTTCTTCTAAGAAAATCTCTTTGCTCTTTTTTATGGATAAATAAACTTGTTTGGGTAACTAAGGTAGTATTTTAATAAAACAAATGGAAAAATGGGTTGAAGAATCAAACTGATTCTCAAAAAAATATATATCTTTTTGCTTTTATGAGTCTCAAAGTATTACTTAACCAACATTTCTAGCTCAGGGTTAAAATAATGTAAAACAAAAACTACACTTTTCCTTCTCCTAAGCCTTCACTACATTTTGTGATCAAGTTTTGTGCACAAACAGACCCCCAATACGTAAATATAAAAGGCTCATTTTTATACATTTCTATGTATGGGTTTTTTGAAGCTTCAGTGTAGTTATATTTTCTCAGTAATACCTCTGTGGTTCAATGTTCTCAAATCGAATTCTGTGCATCAATTTCAAAGCACTTCTGCGAAGATTTGTGCACTAATAAAAGAATGTAAAAAAAAAAAAAAAAACAAGAAACAGCTTCACAATTCTTTTTCCTATAGTATAAGAGATTCCCATACCATGTTTTATAGAACTCTCTCCCAAGATAGTTCTTCATTAAACTGTAGCAAAGTCTAGCATATATAATTAATTTTAAATTATTTTATTCTTCAGCACACGGTATTTATTTTGGAGTTCTGGAAGAGGATGCTGAAGGTGGAGAACCAAGCCTTGTGTCCTTCATCTGTCTCTTCCTCAGCTAGAATATGGATATCTTAATAAGGGAAAGGTTTAGAGTCACACAAAAAGCACAAAGCTGAGCAAATATTTTTAAAAGGGCCAATCTCCATGGGAGGGTCCAGCCTAATTACTAACAGCTGTCGTCGTCGTTGCTCAGTCACTCAGTCAGGTCTGACTCTTTGTGACCCCATGTACTCTCGCAGGTCATGCTTCCCTGTCCTTCACCATCTCCCAGAGCTTGCTCAAACTCATGTCCATTGAGTCAGATATGCCATCCAACCATCTCATCCTCTGTCCTCCCCTTCTCCAGCCTTCAATCTTCCCCAGCACCAGGGTCTTTTCCAATGAGTCAGCTCTTCACAGAAGATGGACAATGTGTTGCAGCTTCAGCTCCAGGTTCAGTCCCTCCAGTGAATATTCAAGACTGATTTCCCTTAGGATTGACTGGTTTGATCTCCTCGCAGTTCACGGGACTCTCAAGAGGCTTTTCCAACACCACAGTTTAAAAGCATCAGTTTTCCAGTGTTCAGCCTTCTTTATGGTCCAACTCTTACATCCGTACATGATTACTGGGAAAACTATAGGTTTGACAATATGGATCTTTGTTGCCAAAATAATGTCTCTCACTGTTTCTATTGTTTCCCTATCTATTTGCCATGAAATGATGGGACTGGATGCCATGATCTTCAGTTTTTGAATGTTGAATTTTAAGCCAGCTTTTTCACTCTCCTCTTTTACCTTCATCAAGAGGCTCTTTAGTTCCTCTTTGCTTTCTGCCATTAGGGTGGTATCATCTGCATATCTGAGGTTATTGATATTTCTCCTGGCAATCTTGATTCCAGCTTGTGCTTCATCCAGCCCAGCATTTCTCATGATGTACTCTGTATATAAGGTAAATTAGCAGGGTGACAATATACAGCCTTGGTGTACTCNTTCTGTGTATTCTTGCCAACTCTTCTTAATATCTTTTGCTTCTGTTAGATCCATACCATTTCTGTCCTTTATTGTGCCCATCTTTGCATGAAATGTTCCCTTGGTATCTCTAATTTTCTTGAAGAGATCTCTAGTCGTTCCCATTCTGTTGTTTTCTTCTATTTCTTTGCTTTGCTCACTTAGGAAGTCTTTCTTATCTTTCCTTGCTATTCTTTGGAACTCTGAATTCAGATGGGTGTACGTTTCCTTTTCTCCTTTTTCTTTCACTTCTCTTCTTTCCTCAGCTATTTGTAAGTCCTCCTCAAACAACTATTTTGCCTTTTTGCATTTCTTTTCTGTGGGGATAATTTTGATCACTGCCTCCTATAACATGCTATGAAATTCCATCCATATTTCTGCATGCACTTGATCAGATCTAACTTATTGAATTTATTTGTGACTTCCACTGTATATTTATAAGGGATTTGATTTAGGTCATACCTGAATGGTAGAATGTGGTCCACTGACAGAATGTGGTCCACTGGAGAAGGGAAAAGCAAACCACTTCAATATTCTTGCCTTGAGAACACCATGACCAGTATGAAAAGGCAAAAAGATAGGACACTGAAAGATGAATTCTCCAGGTCGGTAGGTGCCTAATATGCTACTGGAGATCAGTGGAGAAATAACTCCAGAAAGAATGAAGGGATGGAGACAAAGCAAAAATAACACCCAGTTGTGAATGAGACTGGTGACAGAAGCAAGGTCTGATGCTGTAAAGAGTGATATTGCACAGGAACCTGGAATGTTAGGTCCATAAATCAAGGCAAATTGGAAGTGGTCAAACAGGAGATGACAAGAGTGAACTTTGACTTTCTGTGGATCAGCGAACTAAGATGGACTGGAATGGGTGAATTTAACTCAGATGACCATTATGTCTACTACTGTGGGCATGAATCCCTTAGAAGAAATGGAGTAGCCATCATAGTTAATAAACGAGTCCAAAATGCAATACTTGAATGCAATCTCAAAAATGACAGAATAATCTCTGTTTGGTTCCAAGGCAAACCATTCAATATCACAGTAATCAAAGTCTATGCCTCGACCAGTAATGCTGAAGAAGCTGAAGTTGAATGGTTCTATGAAGACTTAAAGACCTTCTAGAACTAACACCCCAAATAGATGTCTTTTTCATTATAGGGGACTGGAATGCAAAAGTAGGAAGTCAAGAGATAGCTGGAGTAACAGGCAAATTTGGTGTTGAAGTACAAAATGAAGCAGGGCAAAGGCTAACAGAGTTTTGATAAGAGAATGCACTGATCATAACAAACACCGTCTTCCAACAACACAAGAGAAGACTCTACACATGGACATCATAAGATAGTCAATACCGAAATCAGATTGATTTTATTCTTTGTAGTCAAAGATGGAGAAGCTTTATACAGTCAGCAAAACAAGACCAGGAGCTGACTGTGGCTCAGATGATGAACTCCTTATTGCCAATTTCAGACTTAAATTGGAGAAAGTAGGGCAAAACCACTAGACCATTCAGGTATGACCTAAATCAAATCCCTTACAATTATACAGTGGAAGTGACAAATAATTTCAAGGGATTAGATCTGATAGAGTGCCTGAAGAACTATGGACAGAAGTTCATGACATTGTACAGGTGGCAGTGATCAAGACCATCCCCAAAAAAAGAAATGCAGAAAGGCAAAATGGTTGTCTGAGGAGGCCTTAAAAATAGCTGAGAAAAGAAGAGAAGCAAAAGGAAAAGGGGAAAAGGAAAGATATACCCATTTGAATGCAGAGTTCCAAAGANCAGGAGGAGAAGGGGACAACAGAGGATGAGATGGCTGGATGGCACCACCGACTCGATGGACATGGGTTTGGGTGGACTCTGGGAGTTGGTGATGGACAGGAAGGCCTGGCATGCTGTGGTTCATGGGGTTGGACACGACTGAGTGACTGAACTGAACTGAATGTCCTAGTGGTTTTCCCTATTTTCTTCAATTTATCTCTCTTTTTAATTAGAGATAAGATTTTTGAGGGAAGAGACCCTAAAGGAGGGCATGAAAAACCATTCCGGTATTCTTCCCTGGAGAATCCCATGGTCAGAGAAGCCTGGTGGGCAATAGTCCATGGGGTGGCAAAGAATCTGACATCACTGAGCAACTAACACTTTCACTTTCTCTTTTCATGTTTAATAAACATTTACTTTTTATTCATATGTCAAATAGACATTTACATTTACAGAGGACCAGATGTGGCAAGCAATCTTCTAGACATGAAGTTAACCCTACCAACGGAAAAATATATGAACTTGGCCTTACACAGCTGCCAATCTAGTGAAAGTAAATTTAAGTAAAATAAGTAATTATGTATTTTGCTAAGTGATTGATGGGAAATGAAAGAGTGCTGAGTGACAATTATGGTGAGGGACATCTTCACTGAAGAGCTGATATTTAAGAAATCACATGAAGGATTAATAGGAATTAACCGGGTCAAGAGTAAAGCAAAACAATACTCTAGATACATGGAAAAATGAGAATTAAATTCCTGAAACAAGAAATGATTTTAGCGCATTAGAGTGACTGAATTATTATTGCTATAATTTAAAACTAATTTACTGTTTATATATTTGAAATTATTGAAGCTATTTATTTGGAAAGTAAAAATGAGTTACAACACTATTTAAATAATGATTTGGTTTCTTCCATTTGTACACCTTTTTGCTGGCTATCTAATTTTGCAGCAATAATTTCACAGATGCAATTATTAATTAGATTTAACAAGGCCAAAACAGAAGAATCTTCTTAAACCAGGCTGTAAGTTTGATAAAGCAATTCTCATATGTAACTCACTGTTTTCTGTCTTTTCCTGGGTCTCAGGCTTTGGAAGGAATGAAGTGACTATTTGGTTTATGTTCCCCACAAGTTTCTAGCCTCAAACCCCATTAGACTCTATGAAGTGTTTAACCATAATTGTCTCTTAAGCAGTTGATTACCTAAGTTTCTTCTTTCAGAGATGGCAGTTTTCATCAGCAACTTTATTCACTTCTAGAAAGCATGTTAGTTGTTCTCTGTGACTATTCCCAATGTCTTTTACTGGTTCTTTCTGTTACTCTTGGCAGTTCCCAGCAGCTGTGAGTAGCATTGCTCCCTGGGGGTCACAGATCTCAGAAGCTCTTACCAGAAGTTCTTCAGCAGCTCCTCCTGAGAGTCTCAACAGGGTCTCAGAAACAACCTCTAATGGTAACTATCTGCAGCATGATTCTTTAAAAACACACATCTGAAGGAGCTGCTTCAAATTGCTTTACACTTGCGTTAAAGAAACAGCTCTCTGGGTCCCCAGCTGTTTCTCTTTTCATAGAGCTTTTAGGGATTTTTGCATTTTGAAAATCCTTGACATGTAAAATAGGATATGGCATATCTGTAAACTACCTGCTGATGAGACATACAGTAAATTTGCTAACCTTATTTATGAAGAGAGGGTATAGCTAGAAAGCCAGCCAGTTTACCAACTGAATCTGAAAAACAGACTGGGTGGGCCTAAATAATAAGTGGGAGAACAATTCATGTTCTCTGACTTCTTATGTGATTCCACCAATAGATTCACAATCTGCTTAATTGCTTCAAGTTAAAATCAAGATTCATCAGTGTATACAAAACAGGCTGCATAAAGCACTATGAAGTGCCAATTATGGAAAACTGTTACACTTTCTCTTTTCTTTAAAAATAAAACCCTAAAGCCAGTTGCAGTTAATATTGGCAGAAACAAAGGGAGAACTGATTTTGCGGTTTGCCTTTTGTGAATTTTCAGTGCTATCCAGGCTAAATAGAATAAAATATAAAGTGATGGTAGGACATCTCTAGTATACACCAAGGGGCTGTATAATTTCACTCATATGATTTCAATTTCTAGGGTCTGAGGGTTTTTCAGATACAGTGATGATAAGCCAGATTTCTCAGTGTCTAACTACCCAAAACATTCCTTTTAAGCAAGTTTGAAAGCTGCATTAACTCTTTCAGTGGGTAATTTCCCCAATGGTACCCTAGTGACCTGAAAGGCAATGTAGCTTTCCTACATTTTCCACAATTTCAAGGCACAAGTCCAATCAGCCTTTTAGCTGCTGGAAAATGTGCTTATGTGAAATTGTTCCAGATGTTTTTCAGTTTATTGCAGTTTTATGAAAGGTCTAAGATCTATAGGAACATATTATCAAGCATAATTAGTAATCAAGAGTGGATAAGATACTCTTTAAATATCTGAATCCCAATTAATATTTTTGGAAGATTTCACATTAACATAAAGTCTAAACATCCTAACAGGTTGTGTGACCATTTGTCTAGTCTGCTAAAGACTGTCTTGACTTAAGTTCATTATTACAGCATTATCATTAATGGTACCCTTATTTACTCTTAAGATGCATCCTTGTTTAGATGAAAATTTATATGACCACCATTATTATTGTGCCATAAAAGCCCTGTGATGAATTGGCCTTGTCTAACGCTGCAGACCCACTTTGTATCACCCGTCTTGTTTTTAGTAATCCAGCCTCACTGAACTTCTTGTGATTGCCTGAATGTGAGTTGCTCTCTCAAATTCGTGTTTTTACTTGTGGATGGATCACCGTGCATGAAACTCCCCTTATTACATGATTTTTATTAGTTTTTCAAGGAGAAATTTCCCTGCCAAGTCACCCTAAGCTTTTGTCTATTCCCCTGGTCAGCACCAACATCTCTGATAGGCTCTCCTTACACCTTATCCATGGCCCTGCTCTTTCTCAGCACATATATCTGTTCTCTATGTCTGTTTACTGACCTGTCTCTCCAGGACATAACAAACTTTCAGAGATCAGGGATATTTTGCATCATTGTACCCTAAGACCCTAAAAAGTGTAGGTTGCTCAGTCTTGTCTGACTCTGCGATCTCAAAGAACATAACCCTCCAGGCTCCTCTGTCCATGGAATTCTCCAGGCAAGAATACTGGAATGGGTAGCCATTCCCTTTTCCAGGGGATCTTCCTGATCCAGGGATAAAACCTGGGTCTCCCTATGGCCTGCATATATTTAAATATTATCAAGTTTTATACATGAATAAGAATTGAAAGAAAAGAATGGGCAATTGTTTATTTTTAAGTTCATAACTATATTATGCCTTAATAGTAAACATAATAACCTGGTTATTGTCTAATTCTATCTTATCTCCTGAAATAAATACTTTTCATCAGACTATAACAAATTCTGTTTGGTATAACTTTTAGGAGCTCAATACAAAAACTTCTGGATTTGTGTTATACATGAATACTTTAAGACATTATTACTGACTTTAAACAAAGGATTTTTTTAAAGAAATAAACTCCTTTATTGGAATCTTGAATGTGAGTTAATTTTAGAAATATTGACTAATATACACTACCTATTAGCCATATATATATATATATATATATATACACCTTAAAATGAGGCATATCTTCAGAGATAAATACATATTTAAATAGACGTCAAAGTATTTTTTATCGATAGACTCCATAACTCTGACCAGTCATCTATGTAGAAATAAAAATGATTTTGAGAGGGCGTCCACGTGGCTAGCAGCATTGATAGTTTCAGATATCAATTTCCCACAAGCCATCAACACCATCTGTCTATCCCCAGGAAAGCATGATGGACACACTCCCCCACCCAGAGTATTCGTCATTCCACCCATGCCTTCCTGTACACAGACATCCTGTACACAGACTTCTGCAAGCTGTTTTAGCAATTGTTATAATTTTATAGTATCTCAGAATTGTCTGCCACCCTACATTTAGCCTCTTTCAGTATTTTTATGAGTTCAAGGCTTAAAAAATAGGAACAATTAAATATGAGCTATGGAAGCTTGTATGTGATGTGCCAGGGGATGAAGGGGTCTGTCAATCTATCTGTTTATCTCTTTCTCTCTCCATCTGAATAGATACAGATATATAGATATAGATAGATATGTAGATATCTGTATAAATATCTTATACATATATATTTATATGTATGATTTTTTATATATTTACATGTATCATCTATCTACCAATTTCTATCCCCTGGATGATCACATCACACTTTCTTCATTCATAAATATATCCATATTATAGATCCATGTAGTACAGTATACAGACTTCCATAGCTAATTAACATTTAAATTCTATAAGTTGGATATATTTGTTCCCATTTTAAGAAGGACAAAATGAAAACTAGTGACAATAAGATGTGTGTTCAAAAGCAAGATTTTTTAAAAAGCAAGCAAATTGTGAATCAAACTTTATCTATCTGCATTCATTATTCTATTGTATTTTTTCTACTATGTGGTATTGTCTTTCCTATTTCTTATGTACAAATTACAATCTTCTAATGAAGAAATAGGATTTAGCAGGTGGTTCAGTGGTAAAGAATCTGCCTGCCCAGCAGGAAACATGGGTCCAATTTCTGTGTTGAGAAGATCCCCTGGAGAAGGAAACGGCAACCCACTCCAGTATTTTTGCCTGGGAAATCCCATGGACAGAGGAGCCAGGCAGACTACAATCCATGGTGCTGCGAAGAGTCAGACATGACTTAATGACTCAACAACAACAGCAAATGAAGAAAAATCAAAATCTCCAGACAAATTCTTATTCTTTATTTTTAATTCCATGGAATATTCATGAACTTATAAAAATAGAAACTACCCAACATTTAAAATTGTGTATTTAAATGTCTATTACTTACCCCAAAATATCAGGATCATTTAAAAAATTCCCCTATTACCACTTTCTCTTTCATGTGATTCAAGAGTCTGAACTAATTTCATCCTCAAACACTGAGACAACATATTCAGAAATTTATGAAAACTTGCTTAGATATCATTTGTTTACAATAATTAAAGTTACAATACTTTAGTGAATCACAAGGACAAATTGAGGAGAATTGAACCATAATGTACTAAAAACCTATAGTATACTAAAAATAATCTGATTCATTTTCTGTTCTAGTTAGAAGAATTAAATGACATTTGAGAGTGACCCATACTAAGTGAGAAGTTATAAGTGAAAATATCTTTGTCCTTAGCACAGTATTTAATTTTTATCCCTGTTTTCTCTTTGTTTCTCTTTTACTTTTTATTTATTATGGAACAATCTTGAAATTAACAAAAAAGTGAATGCAGTTCAAATATTCTTTTTTTTTCTTCTGAACCATTTGAAAAAAGTTTCTGTCAGGATGCTGTATCACTCTCGATTTCTCGTATGTATTTCCTAAGTCTTCTCCTACATAACCACAAGTCAACCATTAAAATAAGAAAATTGTCATTGATACATTACTAGCATCTAATCCCAAGACCTTATTCAAGTCTCTCAAATTGTGCCAATAACATCCCTTAGAGCCAAGCTCAGACCCATGTGTTATATTTAGATGCATTTCAGCTCCATCAGTCTGGAACAGTTTTCACTTTTTCTGACTTTAATGGCCTCGACACTTTTTGAAGATTAGAGATGGGTTATTTTGTAGAATGTCCCTCCATTTGGTTTGTCTGATGTTTCTCCACAGTTAGGTTTTGTAGATTATACATTTTTGGCAGGAAGGTAACTTTCATTTTATCCTATCAGGTGGCACTGCTTCAATTTTCCTATTACTAAACATATCCTCTTAGATCCCTTAATTCAGTTTCTACCTGTCAGACTCCTGCTTCTTCAGTCTGCTGCTCACGAACTTCCGCTCCAACCTGCTCTCCTTTGGGGATACTCTCCCTCAGCACCCCAGCTTTGACCCCTCGCGTTTAGTGGCTCCGCGCGCTACTCCCCATCTCTCTAGGGTTCAGCCCGTCTTCTCTGGGCTGTACTATTGCATGAATGCCCTTATCACACCGCCCAGTCTCTGACACCTGGAACCAACAGCCTCTCACACCCTTTACTCTTTTACCCTTTCTGGTCCCCCTCCAGCACTCCCAGTCAACTTGCTTCCCTGCAACTGCTCTGATATCCTTCACTGAGGTCCTTTAAAATCTCTAATGGGTTCTGACGTCTCGCAGCTGTCTGGTCCCTATGTGAAAGCCCTACTCACTCTGCTTGGACCTCATGGCGCTCTCTGGGCCTCACTCACTACCACTTTGACATTCTCCCCACTTCATTTGGGTTCCGACGCCCTATTCTGAGCTATCGAACCACTCTGATACTCTGCTTCACATAATCCAAGCCAGCTGCCCCGCTTTGCATTTAAGTTCCAGTCTCCTGCAAGGATTACTTCCG